ACTCCCTGCCGAGCAGGGAGCCCGATGCGGGACTCGACCCCGGGACTCCAGGATCATGACCTGAGCCAAAGGCAGTCGCTTAACCAACTGAGCCACCCAGGCGCCTGTAGGTTAGCCTGTTCTTAAACTTTGTGGACCACAATCACATACCATGCATTTTTTTTTTTGTATTTAGTTATTTTTGCTCAATATGTTTTTGGGATTCATCCCTATTAGTAGTTGTTTGCTTTTGTTGCTGAGTTGTATTCCATTTTATGAGTATACCACACCCTAATTTTGTCCATTTTCCTACAGGATTATTTGCAAATTTTGGCTGTTTTCAATAAAGCTATGTAAATATTCTTGTACAAATCTATTTGTAGACATGTTTGTATTGTAAATACACAGCAATATCACCTCATTTGTTAGATACACTTTTAAGTACTCTTTTTTTTTAAGATTTTAAATAATCTCTACACCCAACATGGGGCTCAAACTCACAACCCCAAGATCAAGAGTTGCATTGCTCTATCACCTGAGCCACCAAGGCTCCCTAGTACTTGGTGTTCTTTGATACCATTATAAATGGATTTTAAAATGTTCTTTTCTTTTTTTTTTTTTTAAAGAATTTTTTTTTTTAGATTCTATTTATTTATTTGCGAGAGAGAGAATGAGAGACAGACAGCATGAGAGGGAGGAGGGTCAGAGGGAGAAGCAGACTCCCTGCCGAGCAGGGAGCCCGATGCGGGACTCGATCCCAGGACTCCAGGATCATGACCTGAGCCGAAGGCAGTCGCTTAACCAACTGAGCCACCCAGGCGCCCCTAAAATGTTCTTTTCTAATTGTTTATTGCTGAAATATTCAAAAACAACTGATTTTTGTATTACAATTAAGATTTTAACAATGGCATTTTCTATAACATCCATTCATATTCTAGTCTTAAGGTTTTTGGTTTTTTTTTTAAGACTTTATTTGAGAGATGTGGGGCTTGATCCCAGTACCCCGAGATCATGACCAACTGAGCCACCCAGGTGCCTAGTCTTAAGGTTTCAAACCAAGCCTCGGAGATATTAAAGCAAGCCTTTCAATATTATAGAATGCTATCTCACCACAACAGACAGAAACTCAATTATAATGATAAGATACACAGGGTAAGTATAAACTACTAAAATTTTAAATAAGTATAACATTAAGTATGAACTTAAATTGTTTAAAGATTTTATTTATTTGAGAGAGACAGCGTCCAAGAGAGAGAAAGAGCGCACAAGCAGGGGGGAGGGGCAGAGGGAGAGGGAGAAGCCAACTCCCCACTGAGCAGGGAGCCCAACACAGGGCTCGATCCTAGGATCCTAGGACCTCGATGAGATCATGACCCGAGCAGAAGGCAGATGCCCAACTGACTGAGCCACCCAAGCACCCCAAATAATGAACTTAAATTTAATGCCAACCAGGAAACAATTGCTAACCTCATTTATCTAATAAATTTAGCGGCTAGCAGAGTTATCTAGTCTCCTTATAACATCTGTTTTCCCATCCTAATAATTTCTCATTAAATGGCTACAAAGTTTATAATCTCTAGCTTTGATTACATTTTCTAGCCAAGGTTTAAATTGGAAACGAGGCTTAAAATTTTATTTCCACATTTCCTTCCCTTCTACAGATTTTTAAAATTCTTGGTCTCATATTTTTATTTCCAAAATCTTAATTTTTTTCATAATCCTGTTCTTGTTTCATGAATGCAATGTTTTTTCATTTCTCTAAGGAAGTTACAGTTTCTTCTGTTCCTTGTACTGCTGGTTTCTTCTGAGGTTTTCTTGGTTGCGGTGGGGGTCTTTTTTTCATTTTGAAAACTTTCCTCAAATGCCTGTTGATCCTTGGCTATCCATGCATCTGTTAGAGAAATTTTCTAAAAAGCTGATTGGGAACTTTTACAAGCTTACTGAAGTGTAGATAGGATATGTCAATTTGTAGGTTACACTGTAGGTGCATTATTTTCCAAGGAGCTTTTCCACTGGGAAACCTCAAATATCACTCTACCCTTTCTGTGAAGTGGTAAGGTGTCTCTAGATTCCTTCCTATATAAACCTGGTAGCCAGCATTTTAGAACTTGAAGGAAAAAGGGAATTGGGGAATGGAATTTCTTGAATTGGCCTCCAGACTTTCAGTTAATCTTGTTGGTTTCAATCTGGCACTTCACTCTTGCCTAGTGTCCCGATATTTGGAACATCTGTGATTCAGTTTCTTCAGATACTATATATCTCCTATCTCCTGGGCAAAGTGGGAGTGGAAATCTAGGGTTCTAACTACTGCTTATACAGATTTTCAAGTAGTTTCACTGTCTCTTGGTCTCTCCCACCTCTTCCCACACCTACCCACACCTTCCTCTGTTCTCAGTACCACCAATTCCTGAGCCTTGCAGGGATTTCTGGGAGGCAAATCGACTTGTTACTTGTTTTTATCTTCCACTGCAAGCACTTAGATTTCAGCTTCCTTTTTTCCTGCTAAATTATTCCTATTTTTGCCTATTGTCTTCATATGTCTCCTACTTTATTTTGGTTTTTAGAGAGGCTGAGTACACACGCAAGGAGAGTGGTGCAGGGAGAGAAGGAGGGAGAATCCCAAGCAGGCTCCACACCCAGTGCAGACCCTGACGTGGGGCTCGATCTTACCACCCTGAGGTCGTGACCCGAGCCGAAATCTAGAGTCGGTTGGTGGCTTAACTGACTGAGCCATCCACGTGCCCCATATCTCCTACTTTAATTGAAGGTGGGATATGAATTCTTTTTTGGTGTTCCTTTGTTGTCTTGGCATCATTTATGAGAGAAAGAAGTAAAAACATCTTTATTTCCATCATGAAAGTTGAAATATTGTATTCCCTAAAGTAAAAAGTAAACTGAACACTATGAACAAATGGACATCAACAAACTGGATAACTAGATGAAATGGACAAATTCCTACCAACACAAAACCTACCAAGACTACATCACAAAGAAACAGTAAACCTGAATAGATCTATAGTGAGAAGACTGAATCAGTAATTAAAAAAAAAAAAAAACCCAAACTAAAACAGAACAAAAACCTCCAGACAAAGAAAAGCACTGGACTTCATGGCTTCACTGGTAAATTCTACCAAACATTTAAAGAACTAACATCAATCTTTCACAAAAAATTGGTAACACTTGCTGACCCGTTCTGAGGCCATCATAATCCTGATACCAAAGCCAGACAAAGATACAAGAACCTTATAGATCAATATCCCTAATGCATGTTGATGCAAAAATCCTCAATAAAATACTGGTGAAATGAATTCAACAGCATATTAAATGCTGAATGATAACTGAAATATACCACATTAACAGAATAAAGAAGAAAAAAGGTACACATGATCGTCTCAATTGATGCAGAAAAAGCATTTGACAAAATTCAACACTCTTTCATGATAAAAAAACACAACTAGGAATAGAAGAAAACTACCTTAACATCATAAAGGTCACATATGAAAAATGCACAGCAAACATCATACTCAGTGGTGAAAGACTGAAAGCCTTTCCTTTGAAGATCAGGAACAAGGAAAGAATGTTCACTTTTGTCACTGCTAGTCAACTCAGTACTGGAAGTCCTAGCCAGAGAAATTAGGCAAGACTGAGAGATAAGAGGCATTCAAACTAGAAGGAAAGAAGTAAAATTATTATTTTGCAGATAATGAATATGTAGAAAACCCTGAAGATCCCCCCCAACACACGAAAAAATTGTTAGAATAAATGAATTCAACAAATTAACAGGATACAAAGTCAACACACAAAAATCAGTTGCACTTTTATACACTAATAATGAACAAGTTGAAAAGGAAGTTACAAAGACAATTCCATTTATAATAGTATTAAAAAGAATAAAATAGGAATTAAGGAGGTGTAAGGCCTGCACAATGAAGGGCGCCTGGGTGGCTCAGTTGGTTGGGCGACTGCCTTCGGCTCAGGTCATGATCCTGGAATCCCAGGATCGAGTCCCGCATCGGGCTCTCTGCTCAGCAGGGAGTCTGCTTCTCCCTCTGACCCTCCCCCTCTCATGCTCTGTCTCTCTCATTCTTTCTCTCTCTCAAATAAATAAATAAAATCTTTAAAAAAAAAAGACTTGCACAATGAAAACTACAAAACATTGCTAAAAGAAATTAAGGAAGACACAAATACATGGGAACACATCCATGTCCATGGATCGTAAAACTTAATACTGTTAAAATGTCAATACTATGCAAAGGTGAGCAACAGATTCAATATAATTCCTACCAAAACCCCAATGACATTTTTTTTTTTGCAGAAAAAACCCGTACTAAAAATAATACGGAATCTCAAGAAACTGGTTCTAATTAGCCAAAAACAAAAACAAAACGAAACGAGAAAACATGAAAAAGAAGACAAAGCTGGAAGACTCACGAAGTTTTAAGACCCAGCGCCAGAAAAGCAACGGACACAGGGAGACACTGAAGAAATATTTGTTGAATGAATAAATATGTATCTCCTCTAAAGAGTTTTGTTTCTTAGGGCAGCTTAATGCCTGTTCAGTTTCCAGCTCTCATATAAGGGTACGATTTTTCATGTCCCTTTCTCTTAACAGGGTAAGAAGAAAACAGCACGTAGAAAATGAACTGAGACGGATCCCAGAGAAACCGAACCTTACCGCGCCAGCTCAGCCCCGAGAGAGGAGGGGTGGTAACCAAGGTAGCTCCGCCTCTGGACCGCGGAGCTCCCGAGCTCGCGAGGTGACAGGACCTCGCGGGGCTGCGCCTCTGCCCTGATTGGCTGAGTTCAGGGGGCGTGGTGCGCAGCGACGACCTGTTACGGCCGGCGTGCGCAGACACGTGCCTCGGCTGGCCTGAGAATCTGGGAGGTTTCGGGAGGTTTGGGGCTGCAAGGAGAGCGGAGCGGTAGTCCGAATCCGGGAATCCGGAGGGGAAAGAACCGAATCTGAGCGTGCCCGGGCCCCTCTCAGGCGGTGGTCCTTCGCTCCCTGCCGGCTGTCATGTGGGCTGCCCTGAGGTTAGCCCTGCGGCCCAACGCCCGCGCCTTTGTCCCCGGGCCGCGCGCTTATCACGGGGACTTGGTGGCCACGCTGGGCACCCAGCCAGACTCGGGCTCTGCCATCTACCAGGTAGGCTGGGTGAGCGCCCCGGCGCCCCGGGCCTGGAATCCCCTGACTGAGCCTGTGAGTCCTCTTCCACCTGTCCGCCAGTGCCGGCCCCACTAGGAAGCAGGTGGAGGGTGGGCACACTTTAACAGCTCTTTTGTTTTCTCTGGAACCCCCAGTCCTGATTCTGGGACGCAGTGTAGGTCGTGAAGTTTGCAAAGGAAGATAATTCCAAATAAAATACATCTTAGTTCACTTTTAGCCCTGGCACTGTGCATTGTATCTTTGAAATCAGTGGTTCTCAAAACCTGAGTCAGCATTGTCAGCTGAGGAACTTGTTCAGTGTACAGCTGCTTTAAGCCCCACGCTGGACCTTTGGGGTCTCTGGGGTGGGGTCTTGGTAATTTCATTGCTAATGAAATCCTCAGGACTTGGCGGCGGACAGCTTTGGGAACCACTGGCCTAGCACAGATAACCCTGGGTTGTGCTTAACAGACTTTAGTTGAATAGTTGTTAATAGAACGTACTTATCGCACACTATCTTGAATGGCCTTTTTTGGAATTGGGAGATATAGCAAGGTCAAAGAAACAGCTTGTGAAGTATCAGAGCTGGAAAATTTCACCCTGTTCCATGGTTTCTGAGCTTATACAGATAACGTTTAAATTGTACAGATAACTTTCAGAAAAGACATTTTGAATTGAAAAAGAATAAGCAGGCTGAGTCAGAAACAATAGCCAATAAGAGTCTTCCAAGAGTCTAGATTTTTCTGGGGTCAGGAAAGAATGTTTAATTCAGAAATATTAAGTGGTTTCTGTGGTCTAGGTAGTATTTTAGGTATTTGGTATAGGTGTGTAGGAATGGAATCATAATTTTGTGGGCAAGATGGACAAGAAAGCGTGTAACTGTAGTGCATTATGATAAGTGGTGTCTAAAGCTTGAAAAGGTAGTTACAGAAAGCTGCAGATAGGAAGCGATGAGTGAGTTGGATCTTGATCGCTGGGTGAGAGCTGGCCGGGTTCAGGGCTGAGGAGGAAAGGCAAGACTATACAAACTAAGGGAGTTATGAGAACATAGATAAGCAAGTTATGAAAGTATAGTGGGTATGAGGACTTTGAAGTCATGACTAGGGTATGGAATTCATGGAGTAGATGAGAGTAGTGGAGGCCCTTGCATGCAGAAGCCACATTCACGTTTCATTTTGCTGGCTGTCTGCTAAGAAACTTAGGTGGAGAAGCCGCAAGATCCTATGGTCCTGGTAGAATTATCAGCGCGGTGGCAGTACCGAGGCTAGATTTCCTCCCATTTGGAATATGGCTTCTTGGCTGGGTGTTCTGGTTGCTGTAGGCCTTTGACTGTTTTCTGGAGCTTCTATAAGGTTATTTTAGCCAGTTTTGGGTCATTTTGGGGTGTCTCTGTGGAGAATGAAGGCCTGGAGCTTCCTGGTCTACCATCTTTTTCGGCTTTAGGTTCAGGCCTATGTTTTTGATGATGGCTGTTAGCTAGGGGATAGGGAGTGTGGGCCTGAGCATATAACTCCTTTCTCTGTGTCAGGTGTTTAATGTTCTGGTCTAGTCTGTGCACTAGTAATTGGGGAAGTAGTTGTGGTAGGATGCAAAAGGCACTGGTCTAGTCTTTCATGTGTCTTAAAAACTAACCACATATTTCCACGGAGAAAAAAAAGGAAACCTGAAGGGAAATAGGAGAAAGTGTTAACAGGGGTCCTTATGAGTGGGCAGATACAGTGTAACCTATTGGTGTAAAGAGCAAGGGTCTGGAGCTGGTTTAAATTCCAGCTCTACTACTTGTTAGCTGAGTGATTTGGGGCTAGTTACTTAACCTCTCTGTGCCTCAGAGGCAGGCTGTGCCTCAGTTACCTCAGCTGTACGGTAGCATTAATAATTGCATATGTCATAGAGCCATCAGGACAGTTAGTGACCACTTATAACATGGCCTGGGATATAATAAGCCCTCAAGAAATATTAGCTCTTGCAACTTTTCCTTCTTTCCACATCGTCATCTCAGGACCTGTTTAGCCAGCTTTTGCTTCAGTAATGCTGAATAGCAGACAGTCCCAAGATCTCTGTGTCCAAAAGAACAAATATTTATTTTTTGCCCGGGCAGTGCGTCCGATGCAGGTCTCCTCTATTTGTTTTTGATTCCAGCACCCAGGCAGAAGGGACAGTGGCTACTGAGAGATGCTCCTCTCCTAATGGAAGGCCAGGGCACAGGAGGAGAGTATGGAGACACTGTCCGTCTTAGAGCCTCTGCTTGCAGTTGATACACTTCACTTTTGCCTACATTCCACTGGTCAAAGCAAGTAAAATGGACAGATTCATGGAGTGTGGGTGGGGAACTATAATCTCACACTGAACCTTGCTGTTATTAACAGATTATTGATACTCAATAATAGTCCAGAGGGACAGAAGAATTTTGAACACATAGTACAATCTGCCTTATGCTCTAGAGGTGGCTGTTTAAGTTCCACCTATTATGTATGAGTTCAGGTAAAGGAGGAGGAAGGGTGAGTAGGCAAAAGGACACCCTCACCTGCTTGTTCTCTTTTTAAGAAGCCTTTCTAGAAGTCATGCCTAACAACTTCTGCCTATATTTCCTTGGTTAGAATTAAATCCCAGGGCCACACCTGTCTACAAAAGGAGGCTAGGATGTTAGTTTTTCAGCGGGGGCATGTTGTCACCTTGAATAAAAGTGGGATTTCATCATCAAGAAAGATGGGAAGAATGGATATGGATAAGCAACTCTCAGTGCCTGCCACAGATGATAAATAGTATGGAGAGATTGGATGTGTTCTTCATATGTTGGATGCTAAAAGATTTCACTTAGGTGTACCCTTATCTTCTGGGATCTCTACCTACAAGTAGTAAGCTTTTTTTTTTTTTAAGATTTTATTTATTCATTTGA